CCCTGTTGTATAGTTTAAAACCACTGCACGATGTCTTTGTGCACCAAATACCGGCAAGATCGCACCGTGTAGAAAAGTCCAAACAGTGTCTGCGAGTTAAAATGGCCGCCATCCATTGTTCTCACGATGTGCTTCATCCATTGTTCTCACCATGTGCCTCTGATACATGAAATGGTGGCCACCCAGTAACTCCACAGTATGTCCCCAGATGTTTCTTAAAGGGCCAGCAGCATATTAAAATACAATATGCCCAAATAATGTCTTTAAATGGCAATACATCCCAGGGGCCATAGTCACATGGCAGGAGGCTGGCAATTAGTCTTCTCCAATGCCCAGTGGCGAAGTCGGTTTCGCCACATATGTGATGCAAGCAGTGTATGTGTTCCAGCAGTGAGTCTGTGTGGACTTCTTGGTAACTGGTCCACCTTTTTCTCTGAGTCCTACAAAAGGATTAACATTTTTGAAGACCAGCTGAAAGCCAAGACTGGAAGTACTAAACTGAAAAGACTTGATAAAATTGGTACTACCAGGTGGTCAAGCAAAGCCAGAGCCCTTTGAAAACTTTGTAGAACATATAAAAACCATTCTGAGAAAAAAAAATGGGGGGTTTAAATATCTGCTAATATGAATAGGTAATAAGGAAATATTTGAATTGCACATAAATTAATGAGGAGAAAATCGACACGTTAAATTATCTTAAATAAAGAAGTAAATGCACATGAAATAAAATTAAGAAAGTCTAGAAAAGGTTTATTAAAGTAAGAAATAAGAATCAATGTGTACAAGAAAAAGTTTTCTTTATAAATTTTAAAAAATATCTGCTTTCCGTTGCCCTACAGTACAGCTCTTGATAGAAGAGCTGACAGAAAAAGTGTCTAGCAAGGGAAAGGGGGTAAGACACACTATTTTGGACAATGACGCTCGTAAGGGTTTTTCAAGTCTTTTTTTTCTTTTTAAAACCCTTTGAGGTTTTTTTTTTGTTATATGGTTGTATTTGTCTTATATGTTGAGCGGATTGTGCGTGGCCAACCTGAGATATTATGTAGCATAGGGAGGATTAATGCTAGAGGGGAATAAGATTAGGATTATAACTTTGAACCAGAAACATTTATTAACAACGTATTAACCAAGTTTGAAAACAAGGTACAGGGGTCCTTTATAGTTGGAGGAGACCTTAACTGTGTGGTAGATGTATCAATGGATAAAAAGGTTCCACAAGAAAGGAAACAACAAAATATCATTAAAAAATTGGTTCTGCAGAATGTCATATCTAAATTTAATCTATAAGACATGTGGAGAGTAAAACATCCTGATGAAAAAGAGTTCACTTTTTACTCTAAACCTCACTTGTCATATTCTAGAATAGATTATTTTTTGGTTAAAATACAGTTAATTCAACAATGTTACCTAATTAAAATTGAGGATATCACCTGGTCGGACCATTCGGCTGTGATTATGGAAATAGGATGAGATGCTAATGAACCACAATCACAATGGAGGCTGAATGAGAGATTATTTTCTGATTATAAAACTATTGATTATATGTCGGAGAGGATTAAATTATACTATCAAAAAAAATACGACACAAGAAATCTCAAAGCAAATCTTATGGTGTGCCTTTAAGAGTGTAATAAGGGGTTATATAATTAAATTGGGGTCTGAAAAAAAAGGGAACAAGGCCTATCTTTAAATCAACTATACCTTGAACTCTATAATTTAAATTAAAAAAATAAAATCTCCCCTACAAAGGAGTTTGATCAACAAATATCAGAAATATCCAAGAAGATCAATACTATTTTATTGGCAAAAGTGAATTTTGCTCTACAAAAGCTAAATCAGAATTAGTACCATAAAAGCAACAAAGCTGATAAAATGCTTTCCAATAGATTAAAAAATAGAAAAGCTAGATCGAGAGTCGAAAAGATCATAGTAGATGGTCATAGTTATAATGACCCAAAATCAATAGGTAATGCCTTTAATAAATTCTATGCACAACCTTATAATCTCTCCTCCAGCCCCCAGGAACTAGATATATCTGAATATCTGGATGGGATTAAATTGCCAACTCTTACAGATGGCCAGCAGAAAGAGTTAAACTTACCTTTCTCTGAATCTGAGGTTAGTCTGGTAATTAACAGGCTTAAGCTGAATAAAGCCCCAGATCCTGACGGGTATACTAATTGTTTTTTTAAGAAATTTAAAAATGAGCTATTGCAACATCTAGTAGATACATTTAACGAGATTAGAGAATCGGGTCTCCCTTTGAAAGAATTATTACAGGCTAATATCTCACCGATATTAAAATCTGATAAGGACCCAACTAATCTGGTTAATTACCGGCCTATATCTCTTATAAACTCAGATATTAAAATGTATTCTGCTGTCATTGCAAATAGACTAAAATCAATTATTCCATCTTTAATTCATCACGACCAAATAGGTTTTGTTCAGAATAGAGATCCAAGTAATAACACTCGAAGATTGACTGCCCTGATTGATTATGTAACAAGGAGCAAGATCCCTATGTTGGCCTTGTCACTGGATGCTGAAAAGGCGTTTGACAGGGTCAGCTGGAGTTTTATGAACCAGACTCTGGACAAATTTGGATTTGTTGGCTCCATTAAAACTGTAATAATGTTTTTTTATTCTAGTCCAACGGCTAAAACCGTGGGCCCTGGCATCTCCGCAGATTTGTTTACAATTTCTAACGGGACCCGCTTTTATATATTTTGACTCTTGACCCGCTCGCAGTGAGCATAAGAAACAACTATCAAATTAAAGGAGTTATTCTGAATCATTCTGAATTTAAGATCAGCCTATATGCTGATGACATAATATTAACATTGTATGATCCGGATATATCACTAGGGGCCTTGTTTCGGGAGTTGGAAGACTATGGTAGAGTTTCAAACTATAAATTAAATATTGGTAAATCCCAAGTTATGCCCATCAATTTAGATTTTACGACAATTAATAGATTATCAGTTAAATATCCCTTCACTTGGTCATCACAAGGTTTTAAATATCTTGGGATTCATTTCTCTTATAGCTTAAAAGAAATGATTGATAAAAACGTGGATAATCTTATAAAAGATACCAGTGATAAATTACTCAAAGAGTGGAGAAACATAGGAATTTCCTGGTTGGGAAGAATAAATATCATCAAATCATATATTCTACCTCATTGGTCATACCTGTTCAGAATGATCCCTTTATCTATAGCAATAACTAAATTTAGGCAGATTCATAAATTATTTCTGAATTACATATGGGATTATAAGAGGTCAAGGATCTTGATCTTACATGTAATGAAAAAGTCCAGTAAGGGTGGCCTGGCTGTCCCAAATCTTATCAAATATTACGACGCCTCTAGGCTGTACCATCTGTGGAGATGGCAGGGCCCAACCACAATAGAAGAGCCTTGGTATAAAATTGAATCCTTTCTGTGTAATTCAAAAGATCTTTCTAATATGTTATGGATTGATGTTGGGGCTAGTGCAAAATTAATCTCCAACATAGAAACTTCATACATAAAAGATATCTATGAAATTTGGGTAAAATACAGGAAAGGAAATCACTTTTTAAATAATATTTCTAAGTATAGTCCAATTAAGACAATGGAATATAATATTAATGACCTAAATTTAGGTAAATGGATCAAATTTGGTTCAACTAAAATAGATGATTTATTAGAATTGAATAAAATAAGGTCTTTTTCATATCTTCAGGTAAGTCTTGACCTTAATTCAAGAGAGTTATTCTCATACCTAAGAATCAAAAATTATTTGGATAACCATCTGCTTTATGACAACACTAGGATAAATAAAAAATGAAATGATCTATTTAAAAATAATATTAATCGTAAATCGATATCTAGTTGGTATGAAATATTAAGAGAGGAAGAAAAAGAGTCTAAACCAAAAGCCTTGAAAAACTGGGAACAAGAAAGTGGGTCTCCAATCGAGTTAGGGCAGTGGTATAGTTCTATTCAAGAAGTTAAACAATCATTGCATTGTTTAAATATCATAGAGCTCCATTATAAAATTCTTCATCAATGGCATAGGGTACCAAAAATTCTAAATAGAATTAACCCTGATAATTCCAAACTTTGTTGGAGGTGTACTTGTGCTGAAGGAAGCTCTAAACATATCTGGTGGGTATGTAAGCTTTTAAGACCTATATGGAATAAAGCATTTAGAGTTATATCAGATTTAGTGGGAGAAGATTTGGTAGATAACTTAATGGTTGCTCTTTTTCATTTTAATTTAAGAAGATTCTCAACTCAAAATAGATATCTAATAATCCAATTTATGATGGCCATAAAAATAGAAATATCAAGATATTGGCTCCAGAAAAAGACACCATCTTGGACCCAAGTGCTATCTCAGCTTAAATACCAACACGATATGGAAAGGGGAATATCTTTTCAATATGACAGCCACTTAAAATTTGATGAGAAATGGTTACCTTGGTTAGATAATCTGATATAACTATATAACTTGTTGCGTTCTCTGTTATGATAATCCTTATATATAAGGATCACTCTAGTTCTTCCCTATGGTACTGTAGTCAGGAAAGTTATGAAGTAACTTAATTATTATAGTTTAGGCCCGCCTAATCCGCTCAGTCCTTTTAAATTGTGATATTTGTGTTTTTGTGTGTGAAGTTTACTCAACAGTTCATATATCCTTCTATTGTAAATCAAAGTCTATATGTCTAATTCTGAACAGTTTTTGTCTGTGATGTTACACATGTAAAATTTGCAAAAAGAATAATTAAAAAAAAAAACACTCTGAGGAATTATATTCTGACCTCATCCTTGTTCTGAAGCATGTAAGTAGTTCATCTGATTTCAGAAATTCTGTTCGTCATGAGGCTCTAAAACTAAATGAAAACTTACGTAAATTTGAAACCATTCTGGCAGCTTTTACATTTATAAGAATTTTTTGAAAATTACTACTCCCATGTTAGATTACTTGCAGTCACCAACCCTTGACATTATGCAGGCATGGTTGAGGATGCTACAAACTGTTTATCAAAAAAATTCAAGAGACTTTTCAGGAGTCTATGGATCTTCAACGATTTTCATTGATCACCTGAATGAAAAGCTTGCTGCAGAGGACATTGCCATCAGTAAATCTTTCACTGAACTTAGATTAACAAAATGTGCAGTTCCTGCAAATCAACAACACAACTTTGAAGTTTCATGCTACAATGTCATCTGTGATACAGTTTTGGAAAGTATGAGAACCAGGTTTGCCACTCATGGCAAACTTTACATGCAGATTGCATGTTTTGACCCAAACCAGTTTGAGGAAATATTGGCTTCTCCTGAAAAAATACAGCTTGATGTCATTTCTACAGCTGTTCCTGAAATTGATGGCCTTGTTCTTTGTGAAAAATTGATTTAATTTGCATCTAGTTACAGAAATCTCTCCAGAGGACTGTTTGACAGTGATGATGAAACATTGAGCTCTGCTGGAGAGGAAGAACCTGACTTCTCTGACTCTGATCCATCAGCTTGTAAGCCTTCTATGAAAAAACTCTTCTGCAAAAATTGCACATCCGGTGCATTTAAGCTGCTATTTCACTATAGATTATGTTCTTCGGCCTATGAAAATCTTTATATGGCATACAAGTACTTGATCACTCTAAGCACCACGCAATGCTCCTGTGAACTGTGTTTTTCAAAGTTGAAAATTCTGAAATCAAGACTTAGATCAATGCTTAGTCAGCAAAATCTGGAGAAATTGATGCTTATTGCAATCGAGAAAGATATTTCTTTAAGGATAAAGAGAGACAAAGAGAAAATCCTAGACTGTTTCGGCAAGACATCTGATGAACTCCGCTCTCTGCTTCTCTTTTAAACTGCAGACTGGCCAATGCTATATATTTTTGTAGCTAAAATTGGATGGCACTTATGTTTGTTTTATTATGTGTATCGCCCTGATTTAGTTTGCATTGTAATCATTTTTATATGATTTTGTAATGCACTGGTTTTGTTTGTCTATTTATGATTTTTACTACTCTGGCTTTGTCTGTTTATGATTTGTATTGCTCTGGTTTTGCCTATTTATGATTTTGTAATGCACTTCTTTTGGTTTGTCTGTTTATCATTTGTAATGCGCTTGTCTTGGTTTGTCTGTTTATCATTGGTAATGCATTTGTCTTGGTTTGTCTGTTTATCATTTGTAATGCACTTGTCTTGGTTTGTCTATTTATGATTTTGTAGTGCACTTGTTTTGGTTTGTCTGTTTATCATTGGTAATGCACTTGTATTGGTTTGTCTATTTAATATTTTGTAATGCACTTGTTTTGGTTTGTCTGTTTATCATTTGTAATGCACTTCTCTTAGTTTGTATATAATTTGTAATGCACTTGGCTTGGCTTGTGCATTTGTTATTTATTTTGCAGTTTAGTTTTTGCATTTGTTATTTACATTGCCCTTGTTTATAACTTATTGCACTTTTGTTCATTGTGTCTAAAGATTGTGTAGGGTGTGGCTGGAGGTGGGGCATGGAGGCGGGACAAGGGTGGGGCTTGAGGCAGAACATGGGTGGGGCCTGTAAGGGGGTCCTTGATTTATTTTGCCCAGGGGCCCTGAGGGTTCTCAGTCCACCCCTGCCCCCATGCCTCACTTACCTTATCTGTAGGCTGCCCCCATGCCTCACTTACCTGATATGTAGGCTTCCTCCCCATCCCTCACTTACCTGATCTGTAGGCTGCACCCCCATCTCTCACTTACCTAATCTGAAGGCTGCCATCCCTCACTTAACTAATCTGTATGCTGCACCCCTCACTTACCTGATCTGTAGGCTGCAAGCCCACCCCTTACTTACCTGATCTGTAGGCTGTCTCTGCAGTCTGGGAGTTGCTGGCTGCACTCTGTGCTGCTCCCCTGCAAATTCAGTCAGGAGAGAGAATCAGGGATAAGATGTAGCTTCCTATCCTTGCCTTTCTCCATACACAGCACCACCCACTGGCCAGCGCCAGTATTGCAGTGTCTTATCAATCTCAAAAGAAAAATACTGGCACAAACTGAAAAATCCTGCAGACGCTCATGGAGACTGGGCAGGGGCTTTGTAGTAGGAAGGGTTTGAAGAAGGGGGACTGGGTAGGGGTTTTTGTAGAGGAGGGTGTGCAGGGTTTTTGTTGGGGGGGCATGGGTTTTATAGAAAGGGGGGTTTGTAGAAAGTGAACTGGGCAGGGGTTTTTGTAGAAGGGGGACTGGGCAGGTGTTTTGTACAAGGGGGACCAGAAGACATTAAAAAAAATTAGAAAACATTAAAAAAAATGTTTTAAAGGGAGTTTTTTATATTTGAACAGTGGGGGGAAGGAGGGGTGCCAAACACAGGATCTGCCCTGGGTGGCAAATGTTCTAGGTACGCCAGAAGCTCTGTCTGAGCTAAACCCGACTGCGCTCTCCTGGCTACTGGTAGAAGGCAGAGAACAGTTCCTGGTGGTCTCCAGGTAAGAATTCACACCATCTTAAAACACTTTTTAGTAATTATGGTGCTGGTTCCTTAATGGTTTTACCCCTTCAGTTAGGCTTAAGCCCAGGATCTCCTCATACCATAACAATTTCATTACAATGATGTAATTATGGTGCCCAGCATAGATCAATGTGCACACATGAGATAACTGACTCTCTTTCCAGGGTAACTACCTAGCATTTTTACTCTGGGCCTTTTCCATGTGTGAACATAACCAGATTATTCCCTAAAGTGAGAATTTAAAGAGAATTAGAAAAAAATTGAAAGGAAAAGGGTCAAAATAGCAAAAATGGGCAAATTCTTTAAGTCAGTTATGCTGTCAGTTCAGCTACTTGGGCCTTAAATTTCAAATTCACTTTGAATGCAAGTCATATTCTCACTTCAGTGAAAAACCTTGCAAGTCTTTTATGATTTTAGATATATTCCGTCTCTAATGAAAAACGTAAGCCAAGAACATGATAAAATGTCCGCATAGACCTACTGAGCATCTTACTTCCTGGACTCATCTTTGGTCCTGTAAATGAGTACATACAATATAAAGGGTAAAAAAAAAAAATATGCTTCTCGAACAATTATAAACTCAACAAACCATTGTGTAAAATATAAATACTCACAAGCTCTTGCTCTTATACCATGAGGCATTGTAGATCAGCCTACAAGTAGACTAACTGAATTGCCTGATAAAACTGGGTAACATAACCAGCCATGTAAGTGGTGGTTATAACCAGTTCCAACAAATGAAACTGGATTGTGGACCTAACCTACTCCACATGCACTGGTAACATATATTATTTGGACTATATTATAGTCCTCCATACTAGATTGAGATTGACTGTATATAAATTGCATTAATCATACAATCTTTCATTAGTCATTTGTATATTTAACATAACAACAAAACCTAATTGCATTCTACGAAGAAGTAAGTAGAAGTATAGATCAGGGTGTTGCAGTGGATGTGATCTACTTGGATTTTGCTAAGGCATTTGATACGGTTCCTCACAATAGGTTAGTCTTCAAACTAAAAGAAGTAGGTCTAGATGAATATTCTTGTTCTTGGGTAGAACATTGGCTTAAGGATAGAGTACAACGAGTTGTAATTAATGGTAAATTTTCAGGCTGGACAAAAGTGGTAAGTGGTGTCCCTCAGGGTTCTGTTTTGGGACCACTTCTATTTAACATATTTATAAATGATCTTGAAATAGGCATTGAAAGCCATGTATCAGTGTTTGCAGATGACACAAAACTTTGTAAAGTAATAAAATGTGAGCAGGATATTGCTTTGCTGCAGAGGGATTTGGATAGATTGGGGGACTGGGCACTAAAATGGCAGATGAAATTTAACGTAGAGAAATGCAAAGTTATGCACTTCAGGGTTAAGAATGCACAAGCAATTTACACACTAAATGGTAGTGAATTAGGGATAACCACACACGAGAAGGATTTGGGAATTGTTATAGATAACAAATTAGGCAGCAATATGCAATGTCAATCTGCAGTTGCTAAGGCCAGTAAGGTTTTGTCATGTATAAATAGGGGCATAAATTCTCGGGATGAAAATATAATTTTGCCTCTTTATAAATCACTGGTAAGACCACACCTTGAATATGCTGTGCAATTTTGGGCGCCTGTTCTAAAGAAAGATATCATGGCACTAGAAAAACTCCAGAGACGAGCTACAAAATTGATAAAAGGAATGGAGCATTTTAGTTATGAAGAAAGGTTAAAAAAATTAAATCTGTTTAGTTTGGAAAAACGGCGCCTGAGAGGGGATATGATAACTTTATACAAATATATTCAGGGCCAGTACAAACCTTTATCTGGAAATCTATTCATAAACAGGGCTATACATAGGACACGATGTCACACATTTAGGCTGGAAGAAAGGAGATTTCATCTAAAGCAAAGAAAAGGTTTTTTTTACAATAAGAGCAATAAGGATATGGAATTCTCTGCCTGAAGAGGTGGTTTTGTCAGAGTCACTACAGAGGTTTAAACTGCAATTGGATAAATACTTACAAAGACATAACATACAGGGTATAATTTCTAATTAGTGGGGTAATAGCTGCTTGATCCAAGGAGACATCTGACTGCTATTTTGGGGTCAAGAAGGAATTTTTTTCTAGTTTGTGGCAAAATTGTAAGCGCTTCAGACTAGGTTTTTTGCCTTCTTTTGGATCAACAGCAACAACATATGTGAGGAAGGCTGTACTTGATGGACACAAGTCTCTTTTCAGCTATGTAACTATATAATACTTGTGGGAAAATGTGCGACTTGAGATTCTTTTGCAATTGTTTCTTTATCATTTTTTACAAAATAAAATATTTTTGTTACAAGATATTCTTGTTCTCTTGTTCACAGTTTGCTAAATAAATAAGCAAACCCACAAATGCCAGTCAATTCTGAATTCGAACAAAGTGTGACTCGTTTTTGTTTGTTTTCTTGTTTATTTTAGGTAGACAGTAGAGACACAAAACAATGAATTTTAATCATGCAGTGAGGGTCCGATATGGGGTCTGTCGTTTTGTGGGCAATATTTTTTTTTTTTTAAACCTTATGATTTTTAGTCAAGTCAGATGATGCTAATTTACATGCATGTAATACATGCTTCAACGTGTGTGTCCATATGTTATTTTATTCTGACAAGAGCAGAGTGGTGATGTTATAGAAGAGGACACTTGGTCTAAACATTTGCACAAAGAAAACCATAAACCATTACAGACAGGGAAAAGTATTTGCTTTGACTGTTTTGTATATAAACAAACAGGCATTAGATTGACAAGCAGTGCAAGAAACAAACACCGATAATTATCGTAGCACATCATTATCCGACATCTCAGTACAAAGAATGTTCTCTTTCTGTCCAGTGCATCTGGAAGGGGCCATTGCAAGTGATCTGTAATGTGAATCAAAGTGC